TCGTTTTGAGGTACGATATCTATATCAGTAAGATCAAATCCATGCGGTATAATTAAATCTAGCGTATGATTAAAATGATGAGTGGGCCTGGTGACGTTTTGCTTGACTCCAAAAGAGTTTATTAGGTCAGTAAACGCAAGTCCTAATGCATCATTTGTATTATCAACGTGAATATTAAAATCTCCGACAATTAGCGCTTTATCAACAGTAACCAATAGGTCTGAGAGGAAATCTGCAAATTCTTTTAGGAAATCTGTATACGGCCCTGGTGGTCTATACACAGTAGCCAGAGCAAGAGATACGATAGATTTCTTTTGCATATCTGACAGTGTAACATTAAGCATTAGTATTTCGAATGAGTTAAACCTGTATCCTGTCTTCTGAGTAACATTGAGAATATCACTATATATTGTTGCAACACCGCCGCCACGACCAGTCTGACGGGGCTCATGCTTATAACAGTAGCTTGGTGAAGTAGACTCATTAGACCAATATAATCATTAGGTTTTAGCCAGGTTTCAGTCAAGCAGAGTACATCAAAACGATTATCTGTGATCATTTCATTTACAATAACTGCTTTGGGTGAGAGTGATCTAATGTTTAGGAGCCCAAACTTTAAAAATTGTTTTTGTTCATTTATTTTACATTTTTCTGGTTTAATCACGATCAGATTTTTTTCTAGATCCTGCATTAAATTTATATTTTGACCTCACTATTCGGGGAACAGACACCGTCTTTATAGATTGGACAGCACAAGTACTTCTATCATTTAGGCGGGTAGAACACAAGTCATCAGGGCAGTTATTTGAGATTTGACTTACTAGTCATGTGGTGCGTAGCGTCCTGGAGATGTTGTCCGACATGAGTTCCAGGACGCTACGCACCACATGACTAGTAAGTCATGTGGTGCGTTTAGCTGTGCATTTATTGAATGAGCACTGTGCAATGTCCGAACTGATTGCACTATATTTTATGTATAATAGTTTTCTATTTTTAACCGTTTTAAATTCATTTTAAACCTCTTAAATCAATTTTGTAATCATTTTCAAAGTTTTTAAATTCCTTGTTTTATTGTTGTGATTATTTTTTTTCTTTTCTTTTATGTAAAGCACTTTGAATTACCATTGTGTATGAAATGTGCTATATAAATAAACTTGCCTTGCCTTATATATGCACAAATAGGCGCAAATGCACAAATTAACTTGAACTGATATGTGCTAATGTCACATCTGAGAGTGACTGTCTCTCCTCTGAATACATGCTGATCAGGTTTAATGCTCACTTTGGGTTTTCTGAACAATGACAACAATTCATAATGAAAATAATGTGCTGCTTTTACTGTATGAACCCAGTAACTTGATTGTTAAACATAGGTGCTAAATCAGGTTTGAAATGTTGTTCTTTATAACTGGTTAGTCATTTATTGAAGACCTGTCAATATAATCATTGGGAATTTGGAAACATGAGTTGTGAAAGTTTTTCAACAAAAGAACTCATCTCTCACTGTTTTGATTTCACAGTGAATTGTAAGGCTGGAAGAACCTCAGACACTTTGACCTTCTGAGATACTGACAATGCAAACACAGTGTATTAACATACAGGCATCTGTTTCCACATCTCACTAAGAGAAGATCTGGGAAAGCTTCTTTCTCACCTATACATTTGTTCCTTTCCCCCACTTCCTTCCTAGACAAAATACTACTGGGCTATTAGTAAGCATGGTTCAGCATACTTCATAGTATTAGCCAAAACCTCTGTTTATTGTCTCAGATTTATTCAAGTTGTTATATAGTTAGATTAACTACAGGGAGCTAGATAAAAATACTGTTGAAGTATTGGCAAGCATTGGGCGGCATATTTCATAATACTAGCCATAACCTCTGATTATTGTTTGAGCTTTAACTAAATTGTTACATGGGTGACTGTAGGGGGCTAAACAGAACCACTATTTAAAGAATGGCAAGCATGAGGCGGCCAATTAAATAGTAGCCACAACCTCCAGCTAATGATCAGACTGTTGAGTTTGTGACCGTGAGGTCTGCGTAAAACGGCCGACGTGAGACACTCTGAGCGACAGATTCCTAATGAATGAGTAAAATATAAAGTAAACAGTTAACTAATCACATGCCAGAAGAACAATAATTAGAAATGGGCAAACAACCAATTTGCATCTCAATCTAAACTCGAGGTCATAATAAAATGGAGTCAGATTAGAATTTAATTTAAATTAAACTACTTTGCGCACCATTGGTGTATTTTCGACAAAGTAATTTGTGCGGCACCAAAAAGACCGAACGTGCAGGAAACCTTCAGCCACCATTGGATTCCTTCGTTGGGTGGACATTACAGGATGTAAGAAATATATCTGATATTTTTGATAGACTGATGTTTTTGGTGTTTCATGTCTCACCTCAGAATTGTCACATGAATAATTTAACTTGTTAAAAGGGTGCATTTATAATCATAATAAAATGTAACATTAATTTCTCAACTCTCCGGTGGTTTGTAACAGTTAGAATCAGTCAAATGTGAGAAATATATGAATCAAATTTACTCACCTTCAGTGTTTCCAGAGTGGATGTGTGAAATCAGCACTAAAAACACAAAGAGAAAAAAACTCATTACAGTGTGAACATTGAGCTGATCAACTGGATTTTACAGCATTTTATAATTTGTCTAGAGCTAAAGGCATCTGTAAAAGTGTGATCTAATTAAAATATTTAAGATTCAAAACTAAAAAAAAAAAAAAAGTTTTGAGTGAATTTTAAGGAACTTGACAATTTTCAGTAAAAAAAAAAAAATCTTACAAACAAAACAATAAAAATAAAATAAAAAGGAAAGATAATTATAAAGATGAACAAATATTAAGATATAGCGTTGATGACTGTACGAGTCCAGATAAACATTAAAACATCTGACTGGTATTTTATAGATTTGGTCATAGCAGAGAACTGTTTAGGGAACTTCAAGCCAACAGTCTGATCACAAGAATAAAGACAAACTGTTACAAACACCTTGATCTACAACACAACATCTCAATCAAACTCCTCTTTCACTCATACATCATGGACTAGAGCTGGATTTGAAACTCTGAGAGCAGCAAGAAAAGGAGGAACACTAAATAACTTGATAATTGACATAATATAATATCAATTAGCATCCACTGAAATACACAGAGAGAAAAGAATACTCACAGAGCACAAGAGGAAGTTGACTGAGCTCCATACTGACTGAATGATGACAGATGGTTAAAGACACAGAATGTATTAAAGCCTCAAGACTTCCTGAAATTTTGTCAAGACTCATTCTGTATCAAATTGAACAGTATTTATTTGCTATTTATGAAAAGTTCTATTCTGCTGTGTTTAATGAACAAGGGGAATATGGAACCATATTTTTGATGGCTTTTATTGTAATGGTGGTATTAGCTATATGTATAATTATGTATTTACATGAAAATAAATGATGTTTTATTAACAAAGTTTGGGAGGAGCATGTTCAGATAATTAACACGAGAAGAGCACATTAAGTAATCAACTCAATTAACAAGATAAGAGGTTTATATACACAGCAGACTTACCTCTGTTCTTTGAGTTTTCTAGCATTCACATGTAAGTGTGAACTCGTGAACGTGAACAACTGCTGCTGCTCTCTAACTGGTTAGTGCGGTGGAGCTGACAGAGAACAAACCAAACCACAACTATGAGCTCACATCTATCTATATCTACATTATCAGGCCTGTGACACTGATGGTGCTGATAAATTTGTACCTGTGAACACAGTTTAATATTCATACACAAAGGCATTAAAACAAATTTAACGTGATATGATTCCAGTTCCTCTTAATGAATCCACCTTCTTAACAATTTGAAAAATTTTTTTCAGATCTTTTAATATTAGTGCTTCCTGCAGAATGAGAAATTTTATTAAAACTAAACACATAAGAATATTTAATTGAGAAGTGTCAATATCACTGTTGCTCATACTTGGTTATTTTATATATATTTTTTAATTCTCTATCCTTATTGCAGTTTTCTCGATTGCTTAGACACTAAAACCCATTATATATGCCAAAAATCACTAACATAATAGCATTTTATAAAAAAAAATTCCCAGAACTATTAACATTATTCTTTTGTTTCACAACTCTATTCAACATTTGACAGCATGCGTTCCTGTTCAGTAGCATTTAAAAACCATCAATGTCACCCAAACCAGCGGTTTTTACCTTGTGAACACTAGTATGCAGCATTTTTACATGCCAGTCAGAACAACAGGATGTATAAAAATAATCATATGTGAATTCACTGGCTATGGATACAAAAAAAATGCAAGTTCAAGAATTGTTTAAAACTTGATAGTTCCCCTTCTAGGGAACTCACACTGCGTCCTCAAGAAGACACTTTGGGGACTGCCGCCAGCAGGACCGGTGTCTGAATCACGTGTGAAACAACTCCAATCCCATTGGCCCTCGTAGCCCGTGATGTCACAGGCGGGCTCCCGGAAGTATCAGAGGGCACCTGCCGAACACGTCACCAACTTTTGTTGTCTTTAGGAGCCGTTTGCCTGACAGTACATGTGAAGGTGCTATGGAGAAAACCAAGTCAAGTGAGCGTTTTAGAAAGTGTGTGCCTCTGTATCTGAGATTTCCGATACCAGAGGACACACACGATCTATGCCTTATGTGTCTTGGTGAGGAGCATGCGTGTTCGGTGCTCGAGGGCTCTGAATGCGCTCATTGTGATATATTTCCAATGAGAAAGCTCCGTTCAAGTTTGTCCCCCTTCTCGAGGGATGAGGGGCAAGCTTCTACGTCTCGTGGTTTGGGTCCCGCTGTTGCTGAGGCACAGCATAGACTCAGATCGTGGGGTTCACAGGTCGAGCTTGCAGAAAAGTTTGAGAAGGGTATGGACCTTTTGAAAGCTTCCGCTGTGAGCTCAGGCGCTTGGCGGGATCCAGACAATCTTTCTCTTCAGTCATCTGATCCCGCGGATAGCACTACATTGGGCTCATCTGGTGAAAGTGAGGACATGGATGTGGTTGGCGGCGGATCAGGCCATGCTCTCTGTGGAGGAGAAGTTTGCGAGCTATCTCTCCCACTGTAAGTCATCTTCTTTAAAGGGTCATGAACTGAGATATCAAAATTCCCTTGATCGTTTGACATATAAGAGGTCATTGCCTGTAATTATCAGAACTCAAAACTTTCTTGTTAGTCTAAAAACAGTTTCTATTGAAGCTAATCTGCCAAAATGACAGGTTGTGGAATGTGCCACTTTATGACGTAATAGTGTGGCTAAACCACACCTCCATAGAAGATCAACGCCAGCTTCTACATCACTGTCTGTTTAGCCCCACCCACCGATTCGCGCATAAAGTAGGTAAATGACGAGAGAGGCAAACGCAGGTCTACGCAAAAACCACACGATAAAGATGGCTCTGAAAACAACAAAATGCTGTGCAGTGCCAAATTGTGGAAAAACACATTCTTTGCATTGCCTTCCTTCTGATCCTAACATTAGGAAAGAGTGAAGAACTTTTATTTTGAATGAAGATCCAGACCGCGTCAGTAAGACCTTGTTCACTTAATTTTACCACGGATTCATTTACAAACAAGGCACAATTTGACGGAGGATTTTCAGAAAGATTGAAACTAAAAGAAACTTGCAGATATCATGAAGAAGGAGAAATCCTTTCTTCTTGATGCTCTGCTCTCGCTTTCCAGGCTTTTCGGCACTTCCGTCGAGGCGGTGGTCGAGAAGTTCAGGAAGGCAAAGAACTGAAAGGTTCTTCCTGTTCTTCCAGGTTCTTCCTGAAAGTCCGCTGCTTTCAGGAAGTTTATTCCCCGCCGTCCCAAGTCTTCCTCTAAAACCTCTGAGGGGCTGGTCCGTCTCGATCTGAGGATCATAGACAGGATCAGAAGAGCAGTGTGGCCACTCGTGCCCCTCCTCCCTCTAGGGCTCTGAGGCTGGACTAACGATGTTCTTATGTGTTCGCTGGCTAGCGAACCACTGACCGATGGTCCGGCCTCTCCCTTGTGATGTGGGCTTTGTTCAAGTACTCTCAGTGGTCGGGCTGTCCCTCTTATCAGGTTTTTTTTTTCAAATTGGCAGACCCCTGAGCCCCCTGAGCCATGCCTAGGGTGTCTCCTTCAGACAACCAAGTTGGTGACGTGTTCGGCAGGTGCCCTTTTATAATTCTGAGCACCTGCCTGTGATGTCACGGGCTTTGTGGGCCAGTGGGATTGGAGTTGTTTCACATGTGCTTCAGATCACCAGTCCTGCTGGCGGCAGTCCCCAAAGTCCCCAAATATTTAATAATTGACATTGACCTGACTGACTGCAGTAAGAGGTCATGGTTCTTTTGCTTTCACTGTGACAGTGAAAGAATGTTTTAAGAAAGCATCAGCTCCAGAATATTTTAAAAGGGACTGTTTCTTTATTTTAAAAAAGGAAACATGAACAGTTCAAAATACGAAAAACCTACAGGGCATTACAGCGATACAAGTCAGAAAACCTAGGAATGAAGAATATACATGAATATACAATATACATTTGTGAAGCAGGCAAACATCACAGAGGTTACGTAACATTGATATACTGAGTCTTATATTCTAAAGGACTTAACTGCTTTACAATAGGGGTGTGCGATATGTACCATTGCTATGCTGATGACACACAGCTCTACTTTTCATTGCATCCAATCGATCCCACAGTACCTACACAAATATCAGACTGCCTGAAGGACATTTTGGCATGGATGAAAAACCATGACCTACAACTCAAACTAGTGAAGACATAGCTTCTCGTCTTCTAGCCACTCCAGCAATACAGCACAACTTCACCATCCAGCTAGAATCATCAACAATAATCCCAACCAGATCAGCCAGAAATCTTGGGTTGATCTTTGATGACCAGCTGACCTTCAAAGACCACAATCTAAAAACAGGTTTGCATTGAACAACATCAGGAAGATCAGCCTCTTCCTAACTGAACATGCAGCACAGCTCCTAATCCAGACCCTTGTCATCTCTAGACTGGACTACTGCAATGCTCTTCTGGCTGGACTTCCAGCATGTGCAATCAAACCTCTTTAAAAGATCCAAAATGCAGCAGCACAACTGGTCTTTAATGCGTCTAAGAGAGCCCACGTTACCCCTCTCTTTGTCTGTCTTCACTGGCTATCGGTCCGTATCAAGTTTCAAGACACTGATGCTTGCGTACAAATCAGCAGCACTCGCTTGTTGTATTCCTTATTTATAAGTCACTTTGGATAAAATAATCTGCTACATGAATAAATGTAAATGTACCATCTATGATAATATTGTAAATATTGTTTTAACAATATGTGAGCTGACATTGTCGAGCATGTCACTCATTTTGGAAAAACCAAACAAAAACATGCCTTGTTGAGAGTCCATGCATTCACTGCATGATGAAGCATGAAGAGGGCAAATACCACCCTTAAAATTTCATTTCTGTCACTAAAGTGAATCAACCATCGCACAAAATATGAAGAATGAGCCAGCTGTTCATGACAGTCCCAAACTACACTCAGCAAAATATTGTCTAATTATTGTTATCAACAAAACCGCCCCCCCACCCCCCAAAGAGAGATATAACTTTTTTTTTATCAATATCACACACCCGTAATTATTATAGTAAAGCAGAAAAAAAAATGTAACTTTTACTTCTATGATAAACAAATACTGAAAAGCAACTGAAATAGCAGTAATGTAAGATAAGCTTTCCAAAACGTAATGAACAAACAGTTTAGTTCATTCAGTATGCTGTCAGGCCACAGAGAGGCATTTCATTTTTAAAAATTAGGTGTTGTACAGATTGACATCCATGTCTATTTTTAAAGTTAATCAAAATGTGAAAAATAAAATTAAAATGTGAAATATGAAATCAAAATGTACCTTATTTAATTTATTGGCTATTCCAAAGAAAAACAATGTATGTAACAGTGAATATTTACAATTCAGTTAATTCCTGATGGATAAAATCAAGTTCTGCCCTACATGTTTTCTCGTTGAATATCCTGAATATCAAAATTGTTGAGATGCTGGTTCATGTTGACTTTAACAGCAGTGAGATGCCAAAAGGAGTCACTCCCAAAACATGACACTTACAGTAAGTAAGAATGCTCAGCCCGAACATGTAAATGAGATGCTGAGAGATTCCAGGATGAAGCTGAAGATTTCTCACCATCACAGCAGATTAATATCAGATTGCAGTTTCTTCCTCTTCAACAGATGTAACTGTTAAATACACACAAAAACAACCAAACATTTATTTGAACAGGTGTTAGGACTGGGCAATATGGCCTAAATTTATATCATGATATATTTCTTAATTTCGGTTGATACGCAGGGCCGCATTAAGACCTCACTGGGCCCTGGGGCTATGACTTACTGCAGGGCCCCCCATCACAATAATGATATACTATTTATATATGATAAATAGGATTTTTATGCTATCAAAATTTTTTGATGCACTGAAATTTCATAATTCTTGTTACCAATTTCAATATCACAAACAAAATACTAGCTCAAGTAAAACCAAGCTTACTGAACAAGTAAACAGTCACAAATTATAATAGCACAAAGATACATACGACATCAACCTACTTGAAAAACTTAAAAAAATGAATAAGAAATATTATATTGTATAAAGTTAATGTACAAATAGACTGAATAGTCTTCACTGTATAAATTCAACATACATTAATTCTTACTTATTTTACAAAAGTGATTCAGTCAAGGACAGTGAGTGATTTTCTTTCTGATGTTTGATTTACATTATTGACACAAATGGCAACAGCAGCTATATTAGGCTGCTTTAGAGGAATAGTTCACCCAAAAATGAAAATTCTGTTGTTGTTCTAAACCTGTATGAGTTTCCCTCTGCTGTTGAACACAAAAGAATCTATAGCGCATGAGCACAGAGAGATTTGAGAGTGCACAGGACACAGTTTGAGTGAGAGGAGACATGTTTTAAGTGCACGCACTCTCTCCGGGCGAGAGCAGTGTGTATCTGAGCGCGCGAGTCCGGTTTTGTGCAAGAGCAAAGGAGATCCGCGCTCGCGCATTGTATTAATGTGCTTTTGCGCTACAATAATGCGCTCTCGACATTTGTCATTAAAATAACTCCATAATATAATGTTAACGTTACAGCTCCTGCAGTCAATGTTCAACTAACGTTGACGGTTGTGGTGCATATGAGAAAGGAGTTAACTTATAGTTTATTCAAGTACTAACTTTGTTAGAGACAAACAAGCCTTATCACACAAAACTACCATTATATTTTCCTTACATCACAGTGAAATAATAACTACATTAACTTTGCATTTGTCAAAAAGAGGCAACATACATATTGATTGCATGGTTTGGCTAGCTTTAGCTAACATGGGCACAAACACAGTTGTCTGTAAAGTAATAGCCTAATTGTCCATCCTGCCACTAACCATTAATTGAATGAAAAACACTTATTTTCGTTAAAATAACACATTTTCGAATGCTTACCTTGTCTAAAAGCGATTTCCTTGGGCCACGGACCGTCTTCACACTCGAAGCGATAATGGCGGATGGCAAAACGCTGGCTGGCGCGAACAAGGAGTTAGTTGATGTGACGTCATGTGGTCACATGACATGAAAACTTCTGGTTTAAAGTAAAAATACTACTCAAGTCAAATTGTTGCTTTTAATTTGTTCTAGGGGGTTCGTGATTTGCTTTAAGGCAGACTGAACAAAACAGGTTTAAACCAGAAACCATGATTTTCACTTAGTCCAATGTAAAAATGCACTTTAAATGAACAACACAGTAGTTTCACCTTTTTCAGTGTAAAATGAAAATGCCATCGAAACTTTTCTGAAGATAATCGGTTCCCTTCAAAGATACATTAATATAAAACATCCGTGCTGCGTTTTGATTCTGAAACGTGCAGTGCTCATGCTTATTCAACGAAGTCAAAGCCTTTTGGAAAATCTATTTGTGGCAGTCAATGTTGATACTGTAGCGGTCCGCCACAAATAAATCAATGTATGGGAAACACTGGTAATTTGATATATCAGAAATTGATATATTTCATAAATTGAAATATCAGAAATGTGTTTAAAAATCATATCACTGTTATAAAAAAAATATATATATATATATATATCGCGATATATTGATATTGAATTATTGTATGTATGTTTTTATCTCTATCTTTATTGTTTTTATGAAATACCTACCAAAATCTTTTAACTATTTAAACAAATTTGACTAGAAAAGACAAAACAAACAACCAAAAAAACAAACATGTCTTTCTCAGTAAGGAAACGTGTATTTGTCGAGTAAAAGATAAACAGGAGGAGTGAGAGATTCAATTAAACTGATTTGTATTACAGCAATTTTCACAATACATGTTGTTTCAAAGCAGCTTTAGTAAGCGCCTTACAAACCCAAAGGATGACAGCTACACAGTATTAATGATGATAATGACCAGTTTGGTGCTTAACTGAATATAATGCATATAATGTAATAAATCAGACCGACATTTACCTCTCATCCTGCAGCATTTGAAAATCAGCACGACAGTCACTAGCAGATATGGACAAACTGCCAGTACAGAACTGAGTGTGTGGAGGACAGAGATCTGAGATTCTGAACGAGACACTGAAAAACAGACACAGAAGCACTTTATCAAGCACTATATCTGAACGAGAGTATAAGAAGAAATAAATCAGCTCACAGTTTCTATTGACTCTCACCTCTGACTGAGATCCAGCTCTTGGGTGACTCTCCTCTCTCTGAGTGTTTGCAGTAGTAGAAACCCTCATGTGACTTTGAGACATTAAAGATGATCATCTCTGTAGTTTGACTCTGGATGAGTGATCCATCTTTATAGAAATCAGCTCTGAGGTTTGGTGGGGTTGAATGTTGATATAAACAGCGTAGAGTCAGAGTATCTCCTTCAGTCACAGGATGAACAGGACTCTCAAGAATCACATCAGCTACAGAAACAGAGGAAACATGAGCTGATTGCAAATATTATATTAACAATATGGTAACATCAAAATAATAATAATTTAAAAAAAGTATGTTTTCTGACAAAACTTGATTTTTAGTGCCACTTGCCCATTGAGTGTTTTTTGCCCACTGATGCATCCTGCACTTGTTTAATCAACCTGCTTTATCTATTGATTGTAAACTGCCAGTCAGACAAATGAACACAGACTCACGGTGTACAGTGATATTAACAGGATGATAGTTCTCTCCAGATTCAGACTGACACCAGTACACTCCTGTGTCTGATGTGATGGTGGAGCTGATTGTACATGTAGATCCTGTTTGTGAAGCCCACACCGATGATGAACAATCTTCCAGCCCCAAACTCTCTGTGTATCTTTTCACTCTCCATCTATCAGAGTTACTCTGGTCCTCACAGCTCAGAGAGAGAGAGACAGATGTGAAGTGTTGAGTTCTGCTAGGACTGATGATCAGAGAGACTGGAGGAGAAACACCTGAGAAGACAATTACAGCTACAATTTGAGAAATGTTTCACAATAAATTTATATTAAAGTGATCAGAGCACATATAGTTTTTATTAGGCATATTTAATTATTTTCCCTCAGATCCTTAGTAATTTTTGTTCCACAAATACTAATATTTATTTATTCATAAACATTTGCCACTCTCTCTCTGACTCTCAGAATTAAATGGGCCGTAACAAAGGAGTCAAAGTTTTGCTGGTACCTCATCAGTCCCTGCTGGTAGATGTCATAACTACACTTTCTGGCAGCAAAAAGCTTTTTTTCTGTATCGACAGCCATTCAAAAGTAGCAGTGAATTATGACAGAATCATTTTTAACATATTTGTAAATAACAATATATCATAGCTTTCTTGTACCTCATTGCTTATTACAAAACTGAAGTTTCGACTCTAAATTCTGATTGGATGAGTCACATTTTAAGTGCAAATAAACACCCATAACCACACATTCTGCTGTTTATTCATGTGGCAAACTGCTACATTGCATAGCAGGAGTAAACAGCCTACAGTAATAATGAACTTGCCAGAAGCTGAATGATGTTGATGATTAGACAGTAACATGAAATCATATAAAATAAAAAAGTAATATGTTAGTGAATAAAATTAATATTAAGAAATTAAATGTGTAAATGAGAATGACAAAGTAATATGAAAGAGATGAAGAAACAACATAAATGAAGTCAAGCACAGATGTATGTTTGCTGTCTTCAAGCTGCATATACAAAGATTGCTATTTAATAGCTCAAATGAGATCCTCAGATCCTTCATCCATTACCTGTGGAAAAATCAGTGTAATGCTCAGCTTATAGAGGCTGCTGCATTTGCTATATGCTATATTTTGGAATGGCGAGTTTTGATTTCTGAAACAGTATATAAAAATCAAGGAATTAGATTTCTCATGATACAGAGTAATCAGTTAGTGTCTCGTATAACACACTCTCACACATTCTTGTTTAAGTAGCTTAATTCATTCAGTTTGAACTCACCAGTGACCCATACTGGCTGTTTGTTGCTGTAGGTTGTATAATAACCTGGTTTTCCTCTCTCTGCTGTGCACACATAAACTCCTGTGTGTTTTAGAGCAGCAGAACTGAAAGTATAGTTTCCTCCAGCTCCCCTGCTGCTGTCTGAGAGGAGGTTATAACGATTGCTGTAGTCTGTAAACAGTAAAAATGTGCAGTTACCTTAAGAAGCTGTTTCCACAGAAGTCTTGTAAATTACCTCTGGTATAAAACGATTTAGATTGATTCAGTATTTTTTAATCTCAATAATATTTCTGACTTGAACTTTTATATCTTACCTGATGAAACCGCGTACCAGCTGAATGTCCAGCCTGTAGAGGAGCCGTAAACCTCACAGATCAGAGTCACTGGATCTCCTTCAGTCAACCACTTCTGTGGAGAAACACTTAAAACTGCCTGGGGTGTATCTGAAATAGAGAAATCACTCATTTAATAACATGTAAAGAGTGTGTGTATGAAGTCGATGATCAAACTCACCTACTGTCAGTGTAACTTCATCACCGATGTTTGATGTTCGTGATCCTCCTCTCTCTGCTCCATAACAGAAGTATTTACCTGCGTCAGACTCAGTAACAGGACTGAATGTGTGTTCCTGTAGTTCACTGAAAACACTGTTTGAACCGTCTTTATACCAGCTGTACCGCCAGCCAGTGACTCCTTCACCATCAATGTCACATCTGAGAGTGACTGTCTCTCCTCTCAATACATGTTGATCAGGTTTAATGCTCACTTTGGCTTTTGGTCTTTCTGTACACAACAACAATTCTCAATGAATGTGCTGCTTTTACTGTATGAACACAGTTACTTGATTGTAAAAGAAAAATCAGGTTAGACTGAAGTGTTGTTCTCTATTGCTGTCACAGTCACTGAATCAGCGTCTTAAGAATCATTATGAATCATTTTCATTCTGTTCTCAGAGCAGTTTATTATATTAGAAAAAATACTTGCCATATATTGTCACTGTTACTGGTTCACTGTAATCTGTGTAATGTCCTTCTCTTCGTGCTCTGCACCTGTACTCTCCTCCATCAGAGACTTTCACTGAATCGATTGTTTTAATTGCAGCTTCAGTAGATGCAGTGTTTGAGTTTTTACTCCAGAGAAACTCCCATCCATCCCATGACTGATCCACCTCACATCTGAGAGTAACTGAGTCGCCAGTGAATAATGAACTCTGTGGCTCAACAGACAGAGTTGGTGTGGGAATATCTGTCAATAAAAAGTCACTTGGAATTTGGAAACGAGTGGTGAACGATTTTCAGCAGAAGATCTTGTCCTCTCACTGTATAATAATTACTGTGCTTTGATTTAATTTTCATTTGTTGTCGGACATCAGTCTGTCACATGAATATTTCTTGTAAAAATTGTGCATTTATAATCATAATAAAATGTAACTCTCATTTCTCAGCTCTAAGTTGGTTTGTAAGTTACTGTAGAATCACTCATATGTGAGAAATATACGAATCAAATTCTCTCACCTTCAGTGTTTCCAGAGTGGATGTTTGAAATCAGCACTAAAACCACAAAGAGAAAAAACTCAGTACAGTGTGAACATTGAGCTGATCAACTGTGTATTTTATGTCATCTTATAATTTGTCTAGAGATAATGGCATCTGTATGAGTACAGATGATGGTGATCTGGATTGGATGTGTCCAGATAAACATTAAAACATCTGACTAATAGCAGAGGTATCTGAATATATAGACAGCAGCGATAATAACAAGTCTGATAAAAACAAACTAACAACTGAATCAACACCATTAAACAGTACAAAACTGAATGACTGAACAAACCCACAGATCTACAACACAACACAACAGAGTGCATTTCTCTTTCACAAACAGCACTAACTGCACACTTCCTCTCTCAAACTCATCTTTCACTCATATATCATGGAATAGAGCTGGATTTGAAACTCAGAGCAGCAAGAAAAGACATAAATAAGGAACACTAAAACACTTGATCATTTACATAATATAATAGCAATTATCTATATACAGTAAAAATAATACTCACAGAGCACAAGAGGAAGTTGACTGAGCTCCATACTGACTGAATGATGACAGACGGTTGAAGACACAGAAAGTGTTAAAGCATCAAGACTTCCTGAAAACTTTCAGTCATCATGACAGACTAAAGACATTCAAATGTACCTTCATGTGTTACAGAAATTATTTTGATAATGTTGATAATCTTGTAACAAGTTTTCTGAAAATGTCATACTGACTAACATGCAAGTTTTCTACAGGAATTTTGTCATGACTCATTCAGTATTAAACTGAACATTTGTTTACCATTATGAAAAGTTATTTTCTGGTGTGTTTAATGAACAAGGGAAATTAAACAATATTTTGATTGCTTTTATTGTAATTGCAGTATTGTATTTATACATTTATTGAAATAAAGTGAACAACCGCTGCTCCTTCCTCAATGGTTTGTGCCACTGAAATGAAATACAACAAACCAAACCACAACCTCACATCTGCCTATTTCTATTCTATCAGGCCTCTGACACTGATGGTGTTGAGTTTGACAAAGATATATTTATACATATGAACATAACAAATTTAGCGATTATGATTCCAGTTCCTCTTGATGAATGTATCTTCTTAATCTGAAAAATGATTTTTTTTCAGTTGTTTTACTGAAGAAATTCTTATTTTCAGCTCCGATAAGTCTGTTTAGTTGTGTACAAAGGTCAGAATCTTTTATTGTCATTTAAACAGTTTACACATGGTTGTAAACTAAGCAGTGAAAATTAACTGTGAGTTGCTGATGGTTGAGTTATAGACTGGTTTTCCTCTCTCTGCTGTGCACACATAAACTCCTGTGTGTTTTAGAGCAGCAGAACTGAAAGTATAGTTTCCTCCAGCTCCCCTGCTGCTGTCTGAGAGGAGGTTATAACGATTGCTGTAGTCTGTAAACAGTAAAAATGTGCAGTTACCTTAAGAAGCTGTTTCCACAGAAGTCTTGTAAATTACCTCTGGTATAAAACGATTTAGATTGATTCCGTATTTTTTAATCTCAATAATATTTCTTACTTGAACAATAATAGTTAATTCAGATGTTAAGGCATGAAGCACATTATATCTTACCTGATGAAGCAGTTAGAGTGTACCAGCTGAATGTCCAGCCTGTAGAGGAGCCGTAAACCTCACAGATCAGAGTCACTGGATCTCCTTCAGTCAACCACTTCTGTGGAGAAACACTTAAAACTGCCTGGGGTGTATCTGAAATAGAGAAATCACTCATTTAATAACATGTAAAGAGTGTGTGTATGAAGTCGATGATCAAACTCACCTACTGTCAGTGTAACTTCATCACCGATGTTTGATGTTCGTGATCCTCCTCTCTCTGCTCCATAACAGAAGTATTTACCTGCGTCAGACTCAGTAACAGGACTGAATGTGTGTTCCTGTAGTTCACTGAAAACACTGTTTGAACCGTCTTTATACCAGCTGTACCGCCAGCCAGTGACTCCTTCACCATCAATGTCACATCTGAGAGTGACTGTGTCTCCTCTGAACACATGTTGATCAGGTTTAATGCTCACTTTGGCTTTTGGTCTTTCTGTACACAACAACAATTCTCAATGAATGTGCTGCTTTTACTGTATGAACACAGTTACTTGATTGTAAAAGAAAAATCAGGTTAGACTGAAGTGTTGTTCTCTATTGCTGTCACAGTCACTGAATCAGCGTCTTAAGAATCATTATGAATCATTTTCATTCTGTTCTCAGAGCAGTTTATTATATTAGAAAAAATACTTGCCATATATTGTCACTGTTACTGGTTCACTGTAATCTGTGTAATGTCCTTCTCTTCGTGCTCTGCACCTGTACTCTCCTCCATCAGAGACTTTCACTGAATCGATTGTTTTAATTGCAGCTTCAGTAGATGCAGTGTTTGAGTTTTTACTCCAGAGAAACTCCCATCCATCCCATGACTGATCCACCTCACATCTGAGAGTAACTGAGTCGCCAGTGAATAATGAACTCTGTGGCTCAACAGACAGAGTTGGTTTGGGAATATCTGTAAATAAAAAGTCACTTGGAATTTGGAAACGAATGGTGAACGATTTTCAGCAGAGGATCTTGTCCTCTCACTGTATAAATAATTACTGTGCTTTGATTTAATTTTCATTTGTTGTCGGACATCAGTCTGTCACATGAATATTTCTTATAAAAATTGTGCATTTATAATCATAATAAAATGTAACTCTCATTTCTCAGCTCTAAGTTGGTTTGTAAGTTACAGTAGAATCACTCATATGTGAGAAATATACGAATCAAATTCTCTCACCTTCAGTGTTTCCAGAGTGGATGTTTGAAATCAGCACTAAAACCACAAAGAGAAAAAACTCAGTACAGTGTGAACATTGAGCTGATCAACTGTGTATTTTATGTCATCTTATAATTTGTCTAGAGATAATGGCATCTGTATGAGTACAGATGATGGTGATCTGGATTGGATGTGTCCAGATAAACATTAAAACATCTGACTAATAGCAGAGGTATCTGAATATATAGACAGCAGCGATAATAACAAGTCTGATAAAAACAAACTAACAACTGAATCAACACCATTAAACAGTACAAAACTGAATGACTGAACAAACCCACAGATCTACAACACAACACAACACAACACAACACAACACAACACAACACAACACAACACAACACAACACAACACAACACAACACAACACAACACAACACAACACAACACAACACAACACAACACAACACAACACAACACAACACAACACAACACAACACAACACAACACAACACAACACAACACAACACAACACAACACAACACAACACAACACAACAGAGTGCATTTCTCTTTCACAAACAGCACTAACTGCACACTTCCTCTCTCAAACTCATCTTTCACTCATATATCATGGAATAGAGCTGGATTTGAAACTCAGAGCAGCAAGAAAAGACATAAATAAGGAACACTAAAACACTTGATCATTTACATAATATAATAGCAATTATCTATATACAGTAAAAATAATACTCACAGAGCACAAGAGGAAGTTGACTGAGCTCCATACTGACTGAATGATGACAGACGGTTGAAGACACAGAAAGTGTTAAAGCATCAAGACTTCCTGAAAACTTTCAGTCATCATGACAGACTAAAGACATTCAAATGTACCTTCATGTGTTACAGAAATTATTTTGATAATGTTGATAATCTTGTAACAAGTTTTCTGAAAATGTCATACTGACTAACATGCAAGTTTTCTACAGGAATTTTGTCATGACTCATTCAGTATTAAACTGAACATTTGTTTACCATTATGAAAAGTTATTTTCTGGTGTGTTTAATGAACAAGGGAAATTAAACAATATTTTGATTGCTTTTATTGTAATTGCAGTATTGTATTTATACATTTATTGAAATAAAGTGAACAACCGCTGCTCCTTCCTCAATGGTTAGTGCCACTGAAATAAAATACAACAAACCAAACCACAACTAGACCTCACATCTGCCTATTTCTATTCTATCAGGCCTCTGACACTGATGGTGTTGAGTTTGACAAAGATATATTTATACATATGAACATAACAAATTTAGCGATTATGATTCCAGTTCCTCTTGATGAATGTATCTTCTTAATCTGAAAAATGATTTTTTTTCAGTTGTTTTACTGAAGAAATTCTTATTTTCAGCTCCGATAAGTCTGTTTAGTTGTGTACAAAGGTCAGAATCTTTTATTGTCATTTAAACAGTTTACACATGGTTGTAAACTAAGCAGTGAAATTTGTGAGATACTGTAAACTCTGAACAACAACAAAAGCACAGCAATGCCAAACACAAAAGTACAATATAAAACAACAACAATGCATGTGCAACATGGTATCTTTCTTGTTTAAGTATTTGATATCTGTTGAAGGAACTATTCCATTTACCGTGTATTTACAAACACTTTTAATGTGTTTGTAGAGAGTTGTGTAGTAATGTAACACATTACTACACATAATGAATAACATTCATTATTTTATAAAATACCATGCGTATCTTAAAGGGGTCATATGATGCTATTTAAATTTTTCCTTTCTCTTTGAAGTGTTACAAGCTCTTGGTGCATAAAGAAGATCTGTAAAGTTGCAAAGACTAAAGTCTCAAATCCAAAGAGATATTCTTTATAAAAGTTAAGAGTTAACCACACCTACCTAAAACGGCTCGTTCTAACACGCCCCCACATGTCTACGTCACGATGTGGGAAGATTTGCATAACGCCGCCCAAATGTTCACGCAAAGAAAGAAGGCGTAACTTTTATTCTCGCTGTAGTATTGTTGTTGCCGCCGCCGCCATGTCGTGAAGGCGCTGTGTGTTTCGTTGTGAAAGCGAAACTACTTTGTTTGGCCTTCCAAAAGAGGACGATATCCGCTTCGTCATGCCTGGAGCTGATCCGTGCTGGTCGCTGAGGAAATACATCAACTTCGCGCTGTGGATCGCCGGATCGGCTTTCACCGTGGACGAAGCGGAGTCCAGCCCGGGGTCGTCACATGTGGGTGAGGCATGCCCGCCGGCCGCGCCGTTCTCAAGCCTGCCCGCCTCCGCTCACTCGAGCCCGCCCGCCGCCGCTCACTCAAGCCGGCCTCCGCTCACTCTAGGCTGCCGGCCACTGCTCACTCTAGCCCGTCGTGTGTGATGCTGTGTTTCGTTGTGAAAG